CCTAAACCCTAAACCCCAAAATCCCCTAAACCCCAAAATCCTCTAAACCCTAAACCCTAAACCCCAAACCCCAAACCCCAAACCCCAAACCCCAAAAACCCCAAAAACCCTAAACCCTAAACCCTAAACCGTAAACCGTAAACCCTAAACCCTAAACCCTAAACCCTAAACCCTAAACCTTTCACCGAAGTCAGCTGCAGACCGAAACTGAAGCCTTTACAAACCGTAATTCGAAACTTTTTACCGAGTTTGACAGTGTCGAATTTGAAAAATTCGAAGTTTCACGCCGGCTCCCTTGTGCATGCCAAGCTGCTCAAACTTTCGATTCGAGCTGCCAAAGGATTCGAGGACCTAGCCACGCAGTTTGATGGAAGAGGGCATGTCGGCCCCATTCGGCCCCCAAGGCTTCCCGCTCAACTTATAAGGGATGTTGTTCGGGCTTACAGCCTATTGGTAGGGATTCGATAGGATATCGTCAGATCTTACTCATGGACGAAATAACGTTTGTCTAGAAACTACATGCCTGTCACCTACTCCCAGTCGAGCCTTGTGAACATTGGGCCCCAAAAGGTTGTATGCTTGACAGACACCGTTTTGGGTTTATGGCTGAGGAGGCGGGTAATCCCCAAAACCTATGAGGAGTTTGGCTGTACCCCCCAAAACCACATTTCTTGAGGGAATAGAACAGGAAATCAAAGTCCCAAAATGAACATGCATTGGCGGCGACAGGTATGGCGCAGGATTTGCGGAGTTGATCTTCGCGCGTGAACAGCTTTGAGGATTGGGGCCCTGGTCAAAAGGACCGCAGTCTGCAACAATCCAACCCTGCATGAGGAGATTCACCTTCGATGCTACACTAAGCCCAACCCCGAAACTTTAAATCAAAGCCTATACTACCGAAACTCTAAACAAATGCAAACGGAGAAGAGTCCTTAACTTGAAACACAAACCCTTAACTCCGAAGTTCAAAGAGAAAAACACCCAGCTATAGTCAATAAAACGAAGAGATCCCCGGTCGACAAAACCCCTACTACTACTACTA